ATTAGGACTGGGGCAGAGGTGGCTGGATAGAATGGTGACTGTCAGCATGTGTGTGGGCTGGATAGTAGGGCTGGTTGGGTTGAACTAGGCTTCAATGTCCATTGACATATATAAGAGCTGAATGGGATGTGGGACAGACTGGACAAGTCTGCTGTACATACAGGCAAGTGCAGGAACCAGGACAGGGCGACCTGGTGGGCGTTATTGGGAGTTGCCCCAACTAGGCCTCAGCTCCCATTGGTTTGGGGGAGGGCCAAGTGTGAGGTGGGCAGAATCAGGCTGGACTGCAACACCCACTAATTCATGTAGAAGATGGGTCTGGAAACAGAACTGACCCAGCAATTGCAACCACCAGCATAGGTATAAGCTGATTGGGGTGACAGATTGTGCCAGACCCTGTACTGGCATTCACACACAATAATCAGGTCTGGGATCACCTTTGATGAAGTTTCTTTGGGGATCCCTCCAACTAAAATGCTGATCTCAGAACCTCATCATGAAGAGAATTTCAAGTTCCATGGTCTGACCATGGAATGCATGTATCAAAGCTGTACCTCCTCAGAGGCTTAGATGGAATGGTGGATAGCATATCCAAGTGCACATGGAGGAAATGGTGGTCCACTGGAGCCTGCAGAGGACACGTGGTAACACAGCAGAGGATGGAGGACAGAAGAAATTGATCATCTGCTCCAGCCATGTAGTGGCAGTGAAGATCTGGGCAAATGGACTCTAAGGTGGACTATGTCAGCAGTGGATGCTGGAGAGATTTCATTGTGCTTGGAATGGCGAGATTGGCAGCAATTCAGAACTGTTGAACTATTGAAACCACTTGAGCAGTGCCCTTGGAGCATGCCCCATATCGGGAACCCTGGGATAGGGTGGGAGGTTTCTCCCTTTATCTGCCTTCTTACCCCAGATATACACAGTTTAAATGTGGAAACAGTGGTCTTACCCACTTTCCTGTAACCCTTGACACTTTGTGCCCTAATCAACTATGTCAAGATTATTAAAATAAGATAATAATAATAATAATAATAATAAAAAGAACCAGCACCCATATGGGATCCTGGCACATGCAAAACGAGGATTTTAGCTGCTATGCTACTGTGCCCGGCCCTTTAAAAGGAAATTTTAGCATGTGGCTGGGACTGTGGCATAGAAGGTAAAGCTGCGGGAGGACATAAAACTAAACAGTGGCTGGGGTGGAATGGGGTGTGGGACAGACTGGATTACTGCTACACTTACTGGCAAACCAGGGTAGGGGCGGTCCTGGTGGGGGTTATTGTGGGTCGCTCCAACTAGGCTGCAGCTCCCACTGGTTTAGGTGAGGGCCAAGTATGTGCGGGGCAGAACCAGGCTGGACTGCAACACCCATTGGTTCCAGTGGAAGTCGGGAGTGAAAACAGAACCAACCCAGCAATTACAACCACCAGCTGATTGGAGCGATGGACGGTGCCAGGCCCTGTACTTGTTAGCACATACAAGAAGTTTCTTTGGAGATCTTCCTAATCTAACTGCTGGACTCAGAACCCTAACGAAGAAAAGAGAGAAGACAGAACGGGTCAACCAACCATCTCAGCTATGATGGACTATGTCAATCAGTGGATTTTTCAAAGACCTCATAGCGCTTGGAGTGGCAAGATTGACAGTGATTCATAACTGTTGCAATATCAAAACCACTTGAGCAAGAACCTCAGAGCATGCCCTACATCCGGGACTTGGGGAGGGTGGGAAATTGGGTGGGCCTTCTCCCTTAATACCCCCCTTTTAAACATGAAGGTAACAATATGGAAAACATACTAGTATTATCCACTTTCCTGTAGCCCTTGAACCTTCTTACTCTAACTAAGTATGTAAAGAATGTCAAAATAAATTTTACTAATAAAAAAAAAAAAAAAAGAAGGTAAAGCTGCTTGCCACCTGTAGCACTACCATCCCCCACGGGTATTGGTTTTTATCCTTGCTATTTCACTTCTGATCCAGCTCCCTGCTTATGGCCTGGGAAGGGTAGCAGAAAATGTGTTTGGCCCCTGCCACCCATGTGGGAGACCCAGATGAAGATCCTGGCTTTTGCTTGGCCTAGTGTTAGCTGTTATGGCCATCTGGGGTAGTGAACTAGTGGATGGAGGATCTTTTTCTCTGTTTCCATTCCTGTTTGTGTAACTCTGACTTAAATCAGTATTTTTTAAAGTATCATCCAACATGTTGTCAGGGATCCACTTAGCTTTATAGTTTATGAATGCAACTTAATACTTTACCTTTTCCTATATTTCTTAACATGCATGCTTACTTCTTTTCTTCAATTTTGATCATTCTGTAAGTAGTAGACCTCTGAAACAGTGGGGTGCTTGTTCTCTATTGCAGTGCCTGGGCAGGCAATTTTGCAGTTGGTAGTGGTTGAAATACTTGGTGCTCTGCCACCCAAGCAGGAGACTCCATTTGAGTTCCTGGCCTCTGGCTTCAAACAGGCCTAGCCAGGGACGGATCTGGAATGGATGGAGTGCTCAAGACAAGGGGGATCTTTCTCCATCCTTCTCACTGTCTGTTTACATTTCAAAATAAATGAACAACTAAAACTCTGAGGGGTGGTGAATGAGGAGCATGGACGAGCAAATCCCTGTGCCTATGGAACCGTATCATGAAAAAAAAAATAGCCATCAAAGCAACAGACTAACAGTAAATTTAAAAACAAAAATCAACTAACTCAAAATAAAGTAGGGAAGGAAAACAGAGGCGGGAGAAGATAAAATATACAGCAATGTCTTGGATATACAAATTCATTCATATTAATAGTAATTCCATTAAATGTAAGTAGACTAAACCTTCTGTTGTCTACAGGAGATGCAGTCGGCCAGGGATAGCTATAGATTAAAAGTGGATGATAAGTGATATATCATGGAAGTGTTACAAAACTAACATTATTGAAGACCTTGACATAGAGTTTCATTGGAAATAAACAGACATAAAATGTGACAATAAAGGTTAATCATTCAGAAAAGCCTAACAATGATAAATGTGTATGTATCTGTACATGCATGTGCCTATATGTGAAACAAAAATTGATGCAGTGAACCCAAATCATAATTAGAAACTTGGAGACCTTCTCTTAGAAGTTGCTATAGAAGCTACATGACAAAATGAGTTCAACACTTAAATGATCTAGATTTAATTTCTTTCAACTACTACAGCAAAGTTATTTTTAAAATTCTTACGGTTTCAAATAAGAATAAATTATTTTTAGAATGGTAGAAAAATATGTGCACAAATTTTCGGTTAGAAATGTAATTAGAGTACCCTGATTTAAGGTGTAACCTAAGCATACACTACTCTCCTATTTCCTGCAATAAAAGGTCAACAAGACAGAAAAGAACTTTAAGAGTATACGGTTTCTGAAATAGGAAGATGTATCATAATTAAATCAACTCACGAGGCTGTTCTGAAAAAACAACAAATGAGATAAAGCCGGTGAAACAAAAAAACCACGGCTCCAAATGCAGGTAGCAGGGCCCTTGTAAAAGCTGGGAGCTTCCAAAGATCGGGAATTTCTATTCTCAGAGACATAACATATGATACTAATGAGTCAGTTGAGAAGTTAAAATCTAACTGTTCAATCTATGAGATGCCATTTAACTCCTCTACACCAATAACAAAAATCAAATAGAATTTTAATCATTCTTTAAAAATTGTCACGATATCAGTTATAAAGTACCTAACTGTAAATATAATAAAGATAGTACAACCTATATACCAAAACTACAAAAGTTGCTGAATGATCCCAAGATATACAGACACAGCAAATCATTAAACAGAAAAATATAAAAAGTTTTTCTGATTTGATCTACATGGTTAATGTAATGCAATGTCATCTAAGTGGGAAGCTTCTATGAATTTGATGGTTTATCTAAAATACAGAAGAAAGAGTAAAGGCTAGGACTGACCAAGAGCTTTCTGAAGTAGAATCGGTAATGGTTGATAGACTTTAAAATTTCTGGGACTTACCAGGAAGATACATTAATTATGGAAAGTTGGTATTGGCAAAGAGAAGACAAATATATCAGTGCTGCAGAAGAGCCTGAAATGGGTCATCACTTATTTGGAATTGCTAAACAACAGAAGTGGTGTGATGTTGTATACGGGGCCTGGCAGTTAAGCTGGCAGTAGGATGCCTGTGTCCCATGTCAGGGCACCTTGCTTCAAGTTCAGACTTTACTCAACCTCTTCCAAATGCACACTCTGGGAGGCAGCAGGTGACGACTTCTGAACTTGGGGCCCTGTCACCAACAAGGGAAACGTGGCTGGAGTCCTGAGCTCCTGGTTTCAGCCTGGCCACCCGGGCCACTGAGGACATTTAGGAAGTGAGCCAGTGGATTACAGTGCTTCTCTCTCAAATAAAAATAAAATAATTTTATAAGCTATTTACATAAAAAGTAAGTGTCATGGTAAATAAGCTAGGGAAGAAAGCACTACAAATAAAGGAGGTAAAAAAGTGATTATCCACATGGAAATAAGAAAAATCACAAGTTAACCAAACCCTAACAAAACAGTTGCAGTAAAAGTCATGTAGCAGATGCAACAGGTCAGTGTTTTAGCAGAATATTTGATGTTGGAGCAGGGATCAGCAGAAAAGCTGATGTTGGAGCAGGGAATAGGTTCCCTTCAAATAGAATTAGCTATTATAAAAAGAAATTTTACTATTCAATGTGAAAATATTCTCTTTTTTTTTTCTTTGTAAGCTTGCTTAAAGAAGGTCAAAAGCCAAGGTGAATCCGGTGAGCAGGCGGTGCCAATGCAAATGGCAACAGGAGAATGCGAGTGTATGAATATGCACTTCCTCCTGGCATGGCACAATGCTCACACATACTGCCAGGCAATGGTTACGGAGATTGACTTTTTGACATTGAAACTTTGCTTGCTGTACCTCAGTTTGGATTCTACCAGGATAGCTGAAGATTCCCGTAAAACTGTGCTTTTACAAAACTCAGAGAGAAGGCAATCCTTACCTTGGTGGAGTTCTGGAAAACTGTGAAACTGATCCAGAAAGCACCGATAAACAGCAGGACCAGCAATGACTTATGATTTATCACATTGGTTTTCATGATTAGGCTCCTGCAAGAGGCAAAGCAAAAATAACAAAGCAGAAAGGAAACACACAATGGCATTTTATGTCCTTTGATTATTTTTACCCTTAGAAATAATACTCCCAGAACTAAACTTTCCTCTTCCAGCAGCTGCTGGTGGTCTCCTGCGGCTGTCTTTGGCTCTTGCCTTTTATCTTCTAGACAGAGAGGCATTCCACCAAGCCGGCTGTGACCTCCAAGAACTGGGCAGTGAAAAGCCTGAAGAACGAGGGTCCCGCAGGCCTAGATGAAGCCTGCAGGAATGTGTCATCCTCATGCGCCCTGCCTTCTGCCCTGAAACACAGAGTAGACAGAATGCTCCAGCAAACACTGACCCTGCAAACCACACAACCACGCCACTCTTTCCAGCTCCCTTAACTCCAGCTTTGCTGGCACCCCTCAAGCTTTGAGAGAAATATTTTAAAACTCATACCTTTTAACTTTTTAAATTTTTAAATTTTCCAGGCTGCATCAGTGTTTTTCTATGATTCCTTTTGCTGGAATTTATGATTCATTTGTCCTGGAATTTTCAAACTGTCTTAAAATCAGCTTGTTTGAATAACACCCTTTATTTGCAACACCCCCCCTTGAAAAGGTATTCTTTCTTAGAGATACCGCCTACCCTGGCCCCCAATTTATAGACACAAAGCACTTTTGTACCCTCGCTCCACCTGCTAGATTTTGCAAATATTTTTGTACCTTTAGTTTAAAGATGTTGTTCAGTCTCATGCCTGGGACCTCTGAGGAGCTGGGTGTTGAGCTTTTCTTCTCTGCTGCTGGATACTTCTCTGTGTCAGCATAAACCACAGCTCTAAGTTGTAATCTGGACACATGCAGCTCGGATTAATAACCATCTGCTGGTTATGGCTAAGGTAGGACAGTCAGGCACACCAGCTCCGCCTTGAGGAGGGGCCTGGCGCAGTTTGAGCAGAAGTTCCAAGGAGAGTGAAAGGCTTTGCATGGTAGAATAGGTGACTTCAAGGTCCGGCGGCTTTGTTAAGTCCAATTCTGTCAATTTTCTAGTGAATGCCTGGCAAGCAGTCAAGTGGGAGTGAAGCCACAAGTTTGAACGACAGACTACTCATCCGTGGATAAATGAACTTTGTAGTTTCCGTCTGAGCCTCATCACTAGAGGTAGTGTTCAAAACCTAGGAGTGTAAATATCTGGACCCTCATAGTTAGGATACTCATTCCTATGTAGGAACACTTCGAATTGATTCCCAGCCCCGGGCCCTGATTCATTTCCTGCTAAGACAAACCTTGGAAAACAGCGATGACGACTGAATTGTACTCCTGTCAGTTACTCGAGATCCAGGCTTGCTTTTCCAACCTCTTGCTCCAACCCCAGCACAGCCCGAGCCATTTTTAGCAGCGGTGAACCTGATGTAAGAATTTGTCCTTTCTCTCTCCCTCTCGCGGTCTCTCTCTCTTTTACTATTTCTCTCTTTCTCACACTACTTCTCTCTCTCTCTCTCTCTCTCTCTCTCTCTCTCTCTCTCGCTCTCTCTCTCTCTCTCTTTCCACCTCTCAAATAATAAAAACTGCAAATACCAGATGGAAACAAACCCAACAATAAACTGTCTCTGTAATGCTAAGATAGCTAGGTGCCACCTAGTGTTCAATATCTGTAACTAACTTTACAAAGGCCAAGGTATTTAAAACCATTTAAAACGAAATTAGAAAGACATTTTGACCAGATAAGATCGTAAAATCAACGTGTCTGACACGAAAATTAGTATCAAAATAGTCATATGCTATTTAAGTATGAAAAACAGATCTCTTTTTTTTTAACTTCAAATATAGACTTCTGCTTTCTCCTAAATTTGATCAAGTTCTCTAGTGAATACCTGGTTAACCAAGATATACAGAGGCACCCTGTATAGACTGGCTTATGGGGTCTGGCATGATAGCTTGGTGGCTAAATCCTTGCCTTGCATGAGCCGGGATCCCATATGGACTCCAGTTTGTATCCCAGCAGCTCCACTTCCCATCCAGCTCCCTGCTTGTGGCCTGGGAAAGCAGTAATGGTTGGCCTAAAGCCTTGGGACCCTGCACCTGCTTAGGAGATGGGAAGAAGCTCCAGGTTTTTTGGCTTTGGATTGGTTCAGCTTTGGCTGTTGTGACCACTTAGGAGTGAACCAGCAACAGATGATCTTTCTCTCTGCATATCTGCCTTTCCGATAAAAATAAACAAATCTTAAAAAAAACCCAAAAAAACCCTAGGGCTTAATCAGAACCTGAAGTGAGTGCAAGACAAATGTGTGTCTTATTTAAAACACCTCTTTGCTTACTAGAAGTGGTCAAAATGGGAAAGATCATAAGGATTTTTTCTAGTTTTTTTTTTTTTTAAATAGATGGGGTCTTCTATCCATAAGCATCATTATGTCAAAAGAACAAGGTGGGCTTAACATTTGACTTAAAATCATTCAGAATTATCTGTTTCTAGATTAATAAATACTTCAGAAGCAAATCAGTCTGCTCTAACAAATTACAATCATGCTAATAAAATTTGAATCTTCCTTAGGTCATGGCCAAAATCCAAACTGCACAGCAATCTTCAAACAAACTGGAATGTAAAATATTGAATTCATCTTAGATGATGTTATCACGCGTTCCGGGACCAAACGTGTTAGTTGCATTGATTCTCACATGCCATGGAAGCCTCACACATGCCTTCAGATTTCAAGCTGCATGGTGTTTTTAAATGACATCTGCTTTGTAATTCTGATAATCTTGGAGACTGACCAGTATAATGACAGAAGTAGTTATTCAAACCTCTTTTCTCAGTTTCTTTCTGATGTGATGTAACCCCCTTATACCACGAGGACACATCACTTCTAATTGTCCATTTCCAGCGTTTCTGATGACTTGAACATATCCTTGTGCATCCTCTTTGAATACCTGCTCTCTCTTTGATATTTTTTACCTCTCAACGTGTTTTTGCTTCCTTTACCTTTATTCTTCAGCACGGTGCTGATGGTGACCTAGTAATGTTTCCAGCTTCTTTTTTGATGGCCGTACTTACAGCAGTGAGTTCTCCAAGGCACAGGAGAAGCAGCAAAATGGGGCTAGTGGGATACAAGCATCTCCTGGAGCCTCAGCAGCATGCGTGGAAATCTTGTGGCTGAGTTCTTCCATACCCTATTCTTGGTCATATAAATTTATACATTTTGATTTGCCTAAACTATTTAGATACTGATATTTAATGTTAACCTGGTCCTGTTTATGAGTTAGGTACTAGGTACACTTGACTAAGAGCTGAGACATGCTTGACTTAAATAATTTTAAACGGGATCATTTTTGATTTAGAACACCTTATGCTACTTCCTATGACTTACAGGATATAATCAAACTTATTTAGGCGGATCCTGTCCATGATATTTAACAGAAGAGGCCTTTTATTTTAAAAATCATTTTTTTTCTGTCAAATGGGGCTCAAAAGCCTGGCATGAGCAAGCTGTTTAGTCCTCTGTAGAATGCTATCCTTGCAGCTGACATATGGTTTCTTTCTTTCTTCCATTTAAAAGGTTTGTTTTATTTATATGAAAGGCAGAGTTATGGAGAAGGAGACAAGACAGAGAGAAAAGAGAGATCTTTCATCTGCTGGTTCACTTCCCAAATGGCTACAATGGCCCAAGCTGGGCAGGCTAACACCAGGAGCCTGGAGCTCCAGCAGGGTCTCTCACATTGCCCACAGGGACCCAAACATGTGGACTATCTTTTGCTGCTTTCTCTGATATCCAGGGAACCTTTCTGGAAACTAAGTCACAGTAATGCAAATGGCAATGGTGGTCTCAGCAATCACCCAGAGACAACCATATCAAGTAGGCTACACTGTGAGATTTGAGCATGTGGAGAGGGGGTCATAACCTTGGAAGGATGAACATAAAAACTGGAGCATGTGCAAGAATGAGTCAAAAATTCCAGCCGTAAGAACATGCTGTAGGGCTATCTATACGCCATTCAGGGACAATGCAAGGCACGGACTTGTGTGTTAGCAGAAAGTAAAGGGAGCTCACCACGGAAGATCACAGAAGATCACAGACAGCCATTTTCAGGGAAATGTGTGGAGGACCGAGTGACTGCTCACCCATAGCTCTCTGAAAAATATAATGGAAAAAATGCATATGTTTAAGTCACTAGTTATCATATCAGTCCGTAAAGGGGATAGGCTACAATCTAAGTGATGGGTGGAAAACTCTGAGGGGCTCTTCCAAATTGGGGTGCTTACCCCTCAGATCTACATGTTGATATTTAGAAGGCTTTCCATAAATGTGGAGAGGGGGTTCAGAGAGGCATTCCGAGAGAATAGCAACAGCTAATATGGAGACTGACTCCATGCAAGGCAATATTCTGTATGCATTTTTTCTGCTTTAGTCCATCTAAACTTCAGAATTATACAATGAGGTACAAGAACAATGAGGCACAGAACATTTAAATCCATGAACTGAAGTCACACAATCAAGAACTAGAAGAGGCAGACTTCGAACATTCAAATCCAGAACCATATTTTTAAACATTATCAAATATTGTCGCAAAGCAGTAGAAGACAGGAAGCCATGGAAATCAGAAAGCTGAGAGGAAGTGATTGGAGATGAGTTAGACATTAATCTAAGTAGAAGTAGAGACAGTGAGTGGCTGTGTCCATGCAGTGGTGGAGCCAGAGTATGTAACCAACACCTGCTGCTGTAACCTGACCCGAAGGCCTTCCCAGTTGGCTGCATGACAGCACGTCAAATCTCTGTGAGGACTTAGAGCTTTCAGGGGTGGGATCCGGGAAGAATTTTATCTCTCCACCCAAACGTGCAACTCAGAGTCTTAACTTCATGAAACTGTTAAAGTTACACAAACCAGCCTCACATATTGTAAACAAGTCATATTTTTGTTCACTGATAACATAAATCAGTGTTCTCTATGAAAACAAGGAATGAGACAAAAAGATGACGTAGATCTTATTCAAACTCCTCTGACTTTGGCAG